TGTTTATATCGGAGGACGAGAAAGTTCACTAGGAAATTCAGTTGTTATGAATCAAGTACGTGTTTTAAAATGCACTTTATTATTTCTCTGCTGTTTTTTTTTTTTAAAAAAAAATTATATTTTTGTTTGAATCAATTAAAATACAGATTCTATTAATTGATATAAATTCTCTTAGTTGGAGTACAAAAGTATATATAATTACTATAAAAGTGAATTTAACTATTTATTTTATAATTCATGTAATTAATGTATCTATAATTTCTTGCTCAGACTGCTAGTGGTGCTTCTATTGGATCTAGAGTTGGACATACGGCCATTTTAAGTACGTATGTTGATTTGTATCTAAAAGTGATTTATATAGATATCATTTTATTAATCAATAATTATTTATAGCACAAGATGGAAATATAATTATATATGGAGGCTCGGTTAATTCTAATATAGTATCATAAGTATATCTTGATATGGCAGTTTTAAGCGCAAGTACTTGGATTTGGACTATTCCAAACAGTACTCAAGTAAATGCGCCTCCACCTCTTACGTTTCATACTGCAGCAATATATGGAAAATACACTAATTATCCGATTATTAGAATTCAGTTAATAATAACTATGAAAGAAAAAAAACACCACTAACTCTCTACTCCTTTAACATTGATATAATTGATGAAATCAGGTCGGTTTTCATCAATCACGGGTGAATCATTGAATAGTAACCTTTATATATTAAATACACAAAATTATACCTGGATCACCTCAACACCGACAGATCAAAATCCACCTACCCCAACAAATTCAAATAATCCTTACCCAACAAATTCAGATAACCAAAGTTCTTCTGTAACCTCATCTAAAAATTTATTGCTTACTGGAATTGGTATTGGAGTTGGTGCTATAATTTTTATTACAGTTATTATTTTTGCTGGAGTTTTACTTTATAAGAGATGTTATAAAGCTTCAAATGCCATTCCGACTCCCGGAAATATCGATCCATATATATATTATGAAAAATAGTAAAATATATTGTGATGTGATTATACATATATCAAAATTGTGCAGTAAGATAAGCAGAAAAATTGTTTTTTGTACTAGTTTTGTTTTAAAAAGTTCTTAATAAGATCTATTAGTTTATAAAACTTTACATGAAAATTATTTAAACATTTATTAGTTTTGTATAAGGATCAAAATCGCATAAAAATTACTAATTCTGCTCCAAAATATATTTATTATTTGGTCAAAATCATTCTAGAATATATAATGATTTTAAATTATTTTATCGTCAATTACTAATTCGAATCATACACGTGAACTGATACGTATATGATTGTAATAACATATCAGCGGCGGATTGGTGGATTTGACCAATTATGGGGTTACGATTTTATCGTCTGCCCTACAAGCCACCCCTATAATAATCATAATAAACTGAGCGTCAAACCCAATCTTTTATATAATACTGTAATAAGTAACAACCCAATTTTCCAACGTCAAAACCAACCTTTTGTCTGTATGCTGTTGGTGGTAAAACCAACCAAACCAATTGCGCCGAATCCCATGTCACGAGGCCCAAAACCGTGACTTAAGACCTGAATCGACGCCCCGGCAATTTCTAGGAAGCAAAAGAAGAAATCGGTTCCCCTACTAAGCCAGGAATCATTAGGCTACGACACCCTTAAGCATAAGCCCGGATCAGCCTTAAAAATCTGTAATTATGTAAGAGAAGCCTTAAGAAAATTATAAGAGACTTTGATCGCATCGCTGATGAAATCAGCGTTAAGAAGCCCCAGGACCAAGGAACAATGGAACCCCTACATGAGGCGTTGCGAAGAAAACCATGGGAAGACCACCTGGTTCAAAATAATAACCAAGCATCGCCAAAATAAGTGAATTGGGCAGTGGCAGGGTCCAGTACAAGCAAATAAACAAATAAGGTAAATGGGTAAATTACGTAGCCGTGTAAGTCGGATGTTTACATCCAGGCAGGAGGCGTGATGGTAATTTGCAATAGCGTTAGAATCAGTAGCGATGGCATGCTAGATAGAGTTTTCTTTTCTTTCTGTTATAGTTTTCTTTCTATCGAAATTTCTGTATAAATAGAGCTGTAATTCGCCTGAGTTTAAGGGCATCAGATCCATTCGAAAATATATATATATATATAAATAAGTTCGAATTAGATCTGAACAGTGAATATATCATTGTTCCCGTAACTGTTGTTTTTGCATAAACTCATAATAATTCAACTCCCTATAGCCTTACCTTGCCAAATCCCTAATCGCCTTGACCTTGTTGGTTTGTTGTGTAGTTTTTGAGTGTTTTTGCTTGTGTATTATCATTCAGTGGTGATCGTCTAGACCCACGAGTCTTCTATAGGTCCCACTAACAATCTTGGTGTGTGACCGTGAGATCGAAATAATTATTTCCTTACTCCGCCGTAAATCGTTGCAGGCTTTATTAAAGTTAACCGATAGAGATGGAACAACAAAGAGTAGAAGCCAATAACTTCCTCGACAACGACGAAAACCGAATCATCAATGTTGTGCCCCATGATGAAGACCACCCAGGATGTAATTCTCCCGATAGCGATCGTAGCCGTACCCCTGTTGCTGATCCCCCAGCAGACCCAAATCTGGTTAATGGCCAAAATGCCCCACAAGCTCAGGAACTGTTGCACACAATATTGCGAGAAATCACAAATGCATTTAGAGAAGCCTCTGCAGGTATCGTTGGCGCTGCCCGTTCCCCATTGCGAGAGACGAATTTAGTAAGGGTCGAACTCTTCCATGGTGAAGAAGATAAAGACCCCCTCGAATGGGTGGAGGCATTTGAATGAGCCACAGATGCAAACAACTGGTCCCCTGAACATAAAGTAAAGATAGCCTTGGGCTACCTATGTGGTATTGCCGCCAACCCCTGAACGCTGCTATCAATAGCAGGCAGACTTAAATTCCCTAACCCAATGTGACACCGAATGAGTGGATGTCTACACATACAACTTCAAATAGTTGTTGCATCAGGTAGATTCAGAGAACCACTTTCCTCAACCGTATATAGTCCGAATGTTCTTGGGAGTTTGAAACCCAAAATAGCCTCTTGGCTGAGTGTGGCTGACCCGTAACCTTGACGAAGCGATAATTGGAGCCTGCAAGATCGAAGCCTGTGGGTATTATAGCGAAAGAAAATGAATGCAGAATCTGAACTCCCAATATAACAATGACTTGAACCACTTGACCTAGCAGATGCAGGCCATGTCGTCGAACTACGAAAGGTTAGTTTCAACCTTGGTGACAAGGAGTGAAACTAACGAAAGAAGGCCCGCCAGCAAAATAATCAAGCTGGTCCGAACAATAATGCCGACCGAATTATCTGTTACAATTGTGGAGAACCGAGACATATCTCCTGTGATTGTATGTTGGAAAGAGCCCCTGGACGAAAGATGCCTCCATGAAACCCACCTCAGTACCCTCCACCAGCTTTGGCTTGGCCAGTAGAACCAACCAGCCCCACCACCAGTGCAGTTATTGCACCAGACCCAAAACATAAATCTATGTGACCTTGACAACACCAGTTATCAACCGGAGGAGGAAGATGCATTTGTGCTACCTCTCTCCCGCCACCAACTGTATACAACACAGAGACTACGACAAAATATAAAAAAGTCAGAAAGAAAACAGAAGAGAGGTTGAGAACCAACCCACCGATTGTAAGTGCCCTGTTGTGCCCTTGATGAACGTAACACCCATGCTAGTGTCACGAGCAAAGAAGGATTGTCAAATTAGGCGCAGTAATCTCGTGACTAAACCGGATATAATATTGGAATTCTGGATCAACGGTTATATGAGGCTTACCTACCAAAGAATAGAAAGGAT